CAACTTGAGGAGCATGTTTTCAAACCCATCTTTCATGGTGATCCAAGATTCAAATGAATTTTCCTCCAACGTGAAAGTTGTAGAGCATTCACCAAAATTTCTTTTGAATACTAGAGCTCCTCCATTGGATGTGTAAAACTCAAGTTATGATGTCTCCAAGTTAGTGTTTCAAAGATGACAAATTTGGCAAGTTCCTAGGCAGATATTTGGACCAATCTTCCATGGGATTTTTCACCAAGATCCTAGCTCCACCTCATCATCCTTGAAACATCAAAGTTGTAGATCTTTCTTTAAGATTTTCATCCATTACAAGATCTCCTCCATTGGATCAAAATTCCTCAAGATATGAAGCATCAAAGTCCATGTCATTAAGTTGTCAAATTCCATGACTTAGAATTTTTCTAAGTTTCTTTTATAGCACATGGTGGACATGTTTTCTAATAATTTTTTCTCATTGATCCAAGTCTTATTTTACCATTCCATCAACATGAAACTTGCTCACCGATCGGGAAAATAACAAGTGTATTATTTTTCCAATATAGTAATAAAAGGGATTTCCCCAAATGTCGATCTCAAGGACTGTTTGACAATATAGAGTTCTGGGTTTATTTTAGTTAAACAAAAGCTCTAGGATTTTAAAAAGGTTTTTGTTTAATTATAAAAATATTTTCAAGGAAAAGGGAAAATTGACTAATTGGTTTAAACAAATATGAGTAACCTGCTAGGGAAGGTGTATGATCTAACTCGGTAACAACTCTGAATTAACATGCAACGACTTATTGTAACTACTTAATTACCAATTCTTTAGAATATTTATCCTAAGTCCTTAGTGAGAAAACCTTTAATCATCTATCCTAATTCCTACGTCCAAAGAGAATTATAAGTGAGATTAAGCAATCAATTATCAAGAATTATTTCGGTTCCTATAGGGTATCCATAGTCCTAGGTGATATCTACTATAGGATGATCAAAAGCAAAGCTTTAACAAAGGCGGTCCAGCCTAATCATTAATCGTAAATCAAACCCTCTTGGTCTGACAGGGCAAGCATTAAGAACAACTAGAGATCAAATCATTTATTAAACAAAGGAAATGTCAGTGCAATAATAATATCAGAGTCATTACAGATTCAAATCAGAGACACCGCCTAGCATTGGAGGGTTTAGCTACTCATACTATTCAAATAAAATACAAAATAAAAACTAGGCATTACAAGATAAGAGGGTTCTTGGACCTTCAATGACTTTCGCTCATAAAAATTTTCAGTTTCCCAATCACCTTGATCTATCTAATCCTGATAATGCAATTCTTCTTTGGCCAAAAAGTCCCTTTTTCCTTCTCAAAACTCACTTAAATAGAAAAGACCCACTGAGACCGGTTAGAAATACCCAAAACACCCTCTCAGGCCAACACTTGGGCAAAAGTGTTAATCGATTAACACTGGAACAGAGCCTGAAATTTGATTTTTCAAAAGCACTTTTGGCCAATTTTGATTTATGCAATCCTTCACATGTTAGGGAAAACAATCATGCACGAAAATCAAGTCCAGAAACAACAAATAATCACTTATGGAATCAATTAGCACATCAAGAATGAAGATCAAATCATGACACAATCAATTTGCGAACGAGAAAAACGTCGAAACTACATTGCAAACGATACAGTAACGATTAAAGCAGTGAAAAGAGTGAGAATTAACCAACCTACAGGGCTGAGATTTGCCTTGGATGTTGTTTCAAATAGATTGTGATGAATTTACTCAAAGAAATCCAGAGAAAACATAATTTGTAATTGAACCGTAGCGAAATCGAGCAAATTCCAACGAAAACTCCAAAATTGAAATTACACCGAATAAGCTTGAAGTAATGACTTAAGATGAATCCAAATGCAATAAAACTCCCAGAAAGCAAGAAGAATTAGCAAGACGGTGATGGTTAAGCTCAAGAGAAAGCACTTCCAATGAAGAAGTTGCTACTCTTTAATGGAGGTTTTGAGCTCTAGTGTGGTTTGGGATGAAAGTGAAGAAGATTATGAGTAGAAGTTGCAGAAAATTCAGAGAGAATGTGAGAGATTGAGAGTGATCAATTGTAAAAATTTGGGAGAATGATTGGATCCCTTGTGAAATGGTGATTATTTGCTTATACAGAGTTTTGCTTCGGAGTTGCTAGGCTAGATGTGAGCTTTGGATGTAGCCTTGAGACTAGCCTTGGAGTTAGTTAGCCTAAACTCACTGAGTTGGAGGTTAACTCAGTTAGTTAGGTAGTTGACTCGGTAACCATCACAATGCAAACTTGAATCTAAGGGCTCACATGCTCGAAAATGAAGCAACATGGTGGTCTCAATCCAAATTAATGTATTAAAGAAAATGCCTTGAAGTGTTTAGAAATGTCTTGAAGTGTCTAGAGTTGTCTAGAATGTTCCACACAATGTTAGAACCATGTAGACCCCAAAAATGAGAAGTGGAAGTTGTTGTCCTGAAAATGCAGCAAATTCTGCAAATTTTGCAAGGGTTAATTGATTAACCCATTTGCACTAGCAAACGGTTAATCGATTAACCAGGCTAAAACTTGCCCAATTTTTCCTGAAAGATGATGTTGCGGTCATGGCTCTGATTTTCGACCTCTTGCTCTGATGAATAGGTATAGAAACCTTTATTTTGTTCTTGTTTTGATGACATGATATCTTTGAGAGGATGTGATTAATCAGACTTAAAAAACCTGAAAGTTCCTGCAACAAAGAATCACAAATAAAAAGCAAATGTGTATGACGACGATGCAAATGCACATGTTTATGCAAAGGCAAAAAGAGGAGGTCAAATTTCGGGTTACGACAGCCATCACAGATGTTGGCATTCTGTAAGACTATTCTCGACAGCCTAAAGGCATGGAGAAACCTGGAGGCATAAAGGGTATGTTCGAATCATTTCCTATTGGTGGGGGTTATTGAAGGACCCTGTGGTCCAATGTAAGTTAAAATTGGCTCACTGTGGGCAATCGACTGCGTAGGCATCGAACTTGCCATGGATCGTACCAGTCCAGAAATAGGTATTGAGACCGTGGTTCCTCCTGTCGAAGATGCTGGGGTAGGTTCTCCATTGTTTAATGTATTTTGAGGATTTGGATTGTTTGAGTGATTTTTATTCGCCATTTTCCTCGTGTATTTTCTCCTTGGTCTATCTTCGTTAGAGGTGGCTAATTTACCACTTCTGAATAACATACAACGGAGTTTAGCAAAAGAGGAACAACAAACGTGAAGAATTTAGAAGAATTTTTAAAAAGAAAAACCGTTAAAAAATATCACTAGCACTGTCCCACTGAGCGTGCCAATTTGTTTACGGTGAAAATTGGTAAACAACCGTTGGTCTCCAAATATTGGTTAACTTACATGATCAACCAGTGAGGATATGTGCTAATGCTTTTTTAAATCAAATTTTGAAAAACAATGAACAATTCGACAATATTCATCATGATTGAAAAATAGTTTAATTCGATAAAAGAAATATGTTGCGAGAAAGTAATCGAAGAGTAAAACGCGTCAAAAGAAACTTATGCAATAAAGAAGATAAATTTCTGGACAAAAGTATAAACTGAATTTAATTAAATGGTAAGAAAATTGCGTTTCATCAAACGTACATTTTTCAATAACTCTTTTCTTTACACACTGGGTACTTTGAGTAATTTGAGTGACTTGTACAAACTTGATCACGCACACGAAATCCTATCACTAAGACCTCTTACTTATATTGAATCGAAATAACTGCCTCTAACAGCCTTTCTCCTAAAACAAAATAAGTGGCGCGCGACATGTCTTCACTTTCTTAATGTGTTCCACGTGTCTTCTCTTGGAACTGGATAAGAACAAAGTTCCCTCTTTATTCAAATTTGAACTTTAAATCGAAGACGCCATCAATGCAGTGCCTTTTCGTCGAACTACACCTTCAAACTTAAAAAATTTCTCTAAGTCCAAACAATCCTTCCTTCTGGCACATGGGTCACTTCGGCTAGACTTCTATAAATAAACTGTTCTGTCGAAGTCAATTATAACTTTTCAAAAAAATTCTCTTTCATTTATTTATTCCACTAACTTAAATCATGCGTCAAATTTATGAGTTAACAATATGCATAATAAATTCAAATAAAAATGAGAAAAAGACGAACATCTGATGTAATAATATCTATGACATAATAATATCACTTAAATGCGTCTTAGTGATATACTTTCATAATTTTTATAGATACATTTTTAATAATTTATATCAAAATAAAATGACATACTTACAAAATCATAAATCCAAATCACTTTGTATGGACTTTTGAATCGATCCGAAAATACATCTGAAGCATTTATGATTTTGTACGAAAGGATACGAGCATCACTATGAATGCCCCCACAAACTTGCATCTACATGGTCTTTGGAACCGTAACATCCTCGTCCTTACTGGACCCCACCAATCAGAAATCTAATTCAAGGTAGAGCTCGAACGTTACTCCAACATATCATCACAAGAATATATTTGTATTTGTATGTACCAACTCTACTTGTGTCACTCTACCAACATTATGGGTCCACTTTATATCAATAACTATGACACATAAGCCACACACAACCACAAACTCAAATTAACCCACAATAATACCAACGCTCCAGATACACAAATATCTCACCCAAAAGAACACGAACGGTTGAGATGAATTAGGAAAGATAAGGTAAACAACCACCTAACATTTCCTAGGTAACAGCCAGCCACGACCACGACTCTCATTCTTGTCGTTTAGTGGAATCCACCCTGGATTTTCACATCAGCACGAGTAGTTGACACCTACCGTTTCGGAAGTTTGCGCAATAAAAAACGGGTCTAAAAAAAATAATAAATAAAAAAATATTTCCAATATCTTCGTCACCACCCAAATTTCAGTGACTGAAAAAAAAATTCGTGTTTTGGTAGAGTCACCAAAAGAGGGGAATTTTGGTTTGCACAAACCTAGTTCCCCTCAGAAAGAAATGTTGCAGAAATTTTGTTTGATGACTTCTTATGGATTTCCTTCGGAGCTTGGTTTCCAACAAGAATTTGTTATGAAGGTGAAATTATTGTTTATTGTTTATGATTTTAATTTTACTGAAGTAGTTTTTTGTTTGTTTGTTTGGTTTAATTGAATTTTTTTGTTTATGATAGGGTTGTCAACAATTGGTGCCTTATCATGTAGCGAAACCAGAAATTGTTCGATATCAGTGTCCTAATCTTAGGTTAAGTTCGTATGAGGAATCGAGAATGGCATCAAAAGAGTGGTTCGGTTATAATCAGTTTGTCAATTTGGAGTTGTCAGCTCTAAAGGAAATGGTTATTGATGTTAAAGGTGTGGTGATAGTTCTTTGAGTTGTGTATTTGATTCACAACTATTTTGATGGTTAACTCCTTTTACAATGCCATATTTATTTATATATTTTTGCCTTTATTTTTAAATGGTTCCTGTTCTATTCAGGAACTAGAAATAAATAGTTGATGACACGGAGTGAAAGAGGGTTCAAATGCGGTAGAGAGTACTTCCGAAGTTGCAAAGCATGGTGAACCTGCAAGGTTAACACTCCAACGCCAACGTCCAAGTCATTGAGAGAAAGTGAGAGAATGAAAAGTATAAGTAGTTAGAATGTGAGAGTAAATAGAATACCTGAATTTTGTCGTTTGTATAGCTTTATATATGTAAGGTGGTTTAGAACTGTTTCCGCTTAATCCGGCGTTTGGTGAGGATCACTGTCCAATTAGATTTGAGGGTGGGAAGAAGGTTGGAATTAAGCGTCCCATGCTGTGGTTGTACCTGTTCGCCGCGCCTCCTCGCAGTGCTTGCTATCGGGCCTTGATGTGTGGGCCTTGTGAGCGAACCTAGAGCAGTTACTTTGGATGTAGTGTCTGTTCTCTTAACCCTACCTTCCTTTATGGCGCTTTTGTTATTCTATGTTGTTTCTTCATGCATTTATGTGTAAATGCTCTTGGCCCAAAAGCTCAACAGTGTCCTCCCACCTTAATTTCATGCAGACAAGGAATTTTCAGGACATGTGGTAAAGTAAGGACCAATATATGTGCTATCTATATCAGTTATTGTTCTAAATTTTAGCAAGTGAGTATTAGGGTGTGAGAGTTGAGACTTGAAGACTACTACTTGTAATCCTCATTGATCGCAGTGAACTCTCTATTTTTGTGGACCTCTCTCTAGATTTTATGAACAATATGGCAGTAACTCAAATTACTCTAGAATATCACTATATCAATCAAGGCCTTGTCAAAGATTGTATGCGGGGACTTTTTTTTGTTGCTCTCTATTAGAAAGCTACTCAAGTTGCCCCTAAGCACCAAAGTTATCTCCTCAAGAAGTGATGGTCACCTAGAAAGGATACTAGTTAGAGAGATCTGAACCTATTTGTATGGATCATTGGATGGCCACGTTTTAAAAATAATTTCTTTGTTAAGTTTTACTTCTTTCAACTTTTACCATTATATAGACAGCTTGTGTAATTCACTTGTTCATTTATTAAGCATCTTTCTTTCACTTGTTATTTTAATTGTTAAATGTTTCCAATTACAAAAAGGTAACTGTGGTGATACCTAAGGTTGGTTTTCTCTCTTGGATATGATGTGTTGTCATTTGCTAAAATACTGAGTAATTAGAAAGCAGGTGGTAGGTTTTTGATTACTGAGCCTGTATATGTATATTTATTATCGTGTCTGAGATGAATGTCTAAGATGATTCATGCTGGTAACTCCTTTGATTTAATGTTATGTGTCTTACTCTTAAGTAATTTCACTTATCCTTTGGTTGCAGCAACTTGTCCAAGCACATTACTTTTCAGCTTTGGCGCCGTTAATCAATGCACCGAGCATGATAAAACTTTGCATTGTATCACATCTGAGGCTGCTGAACTAGGCGGTGTTCGTAAAGCTTTGTTGTCTGACTTGATGAGTCTGCACCTTTCAGGCATTGATATACCTCAAATTTCATTGCATCCTCTCATCTACCCAAATAGGACATTCTATATCTCGAGGCCTTTGCTTGATATTTTTCAAGATTCAGCTCTAAGTTCAAAAATTACTGCTCATCCAGATGGCCAAGTCACATTTATGGGTACAGAAATTGAGATGAAGGATTTTCTTGCTTTAGTTACCGAGTCATACTTATCAGAAAGCACACATAAGGGTGAAAAACAGTTTATGCTTGTTCCACACTTCAGTAGGTATGTACGTGTGGACCCATTTTATTTAAGCTTCAATTTGATCACATGAAACCCTATCTGTTTTGGCTACTTTGAATTACTTTTTCATAGCAGAAAAGAATAATCAGAGACTTCTTCATCAACACCAGATTTAATTATAATTTCTACATCAATTTTAAATATTTTGACAAAGATGTGTTTTCAAATGTGTTCTTTTTCTAAGGTATATCCAGAATAATTAATATTTGCTGCATGATCAAATAAACATGTAGTACTTATTTTGGTCACTTTAAGAGTCACTTTGCTCATGCTACTTCTATATTGCCGAGAGTGCTGTTAGCTTGGGTTGTTCTGATACTTTTAAGATAGCTTAAATTTGGTCATTGGCACAACAAACTTCTTTTTCATACTAATTTATCGAATATTTTCATCTATGTTGCTGTAAATACAAAAATCCAAATGCATATATGTGTGGTTTAACAACTGTAAGTTAAAGTAGTTAAAATTGACGGCTTGCAATGTTCTTGTATAGTAATTCTAGTGATTCTTGCCTCAACTGATTTTCGATAAGCCTTTAAAGTTGCACACATACATGATTCAGTTATAGATGATGAACATACTTTTTGATCCCGATACTCAATATTCTATTTTTTGTTATGTATCAAGCAACTGACCTTTTCTGAGAAAATGTACATGGACAGGCTGAATATGAATGAATTAGAGGCCAGAAGTCATTCCTCCATATTGGATATTCACTCTACACTGACTGTTCCTATAAAAAGGTAGAAAAATATGCTTTTCCATGACAATTGTCCTCCTCCTGAGTTTGATATACGCAAAATACTGCTATACGAGGTTGTTTTAATCCAAAAAAACTGTTCACAGTCTATTCTGTGTAAAACGAATAGACCATTTAAAAGTGGTTTAATTTTATGTCCCACTTTAAGTTTGTACACTTCGATTCCTTCATATGATGCATCTGCTAGCATACAGCAATCACCTTATTTGCTAAAGAAATATAGCAAAAGTTAATGTTTTTCTCTTGTTTGGCAGTCCTGAGAAAGTCAAAGTCAAGCCGTCACGAAAAAAGAGCAAGAAAGTAGCCAGGGAGAGGGATCTGTTCAAGAAGAACCACATTCATGCATGTGAAAGCCTTCTGTTTTTGATGACTGATAAAAGTCATCATCGAGAAACAGCAATTCTTTCACTGAAGAAATCTGGCCCAGAGCTTCCTGAACTCCTCACCCAATTCTCTGCCGGCATTGCAGGTACTGGCCTTGCTGTTGTGCTATCTGTGATCTGCAAGCTAGCTTGTGGAAGGGTCCCCTTTTGTGCATCTAAGGTCTTCAACACGGGTTTGGGTTTCGGGCTTGTTTGGCTTTCTTGGGGAGTAAATAAACTGAGGAATACAATTGTTAGCATAAACAAGAATACCGGAAAGATGAGATTGAAAGATAAAGATATGATTCAAAAGGTGGATAAGAGCCTAAAAGAGGTTTACTTTAGAGCTGCAGCATTGCTAGTAGTGGCAGTGCTAAGGCTTGCTTGAGTGTATCGGTTAATGGAATAACCATTAACTGTTGTATCTGATTTGTTGTAAAGTGTAAGGTAGAATTTTGCAATAAAATGAACTGACTTATTTAGTAAAATGTTTCCATTTTCTCACTACAACAGATTTCAGCTCCCTTGAAATTGCTGGATTGGTATATCAGCAAAACAATTAAAGTTGTCTACATATATACATACATATCTTAAAATTAATGACCCTAAATAATTAATATATCAATGTGAAATATTAATATAATTTTAAATTAATGTTTAATTTTTTATCCAGAATAAAAATGTGTCTACATATCACAATTAGTAATATTTTAACAAGATGATAATAAATAATAGTAATTTACATACACAAAAACTAAAATTTGAAGTTCAAATCTTAGTATTAATTTTTAATCTAACAATATCAACTTTTTCCTAATTAGAATATAATTTACAGAATTCATTTTATTTAAAGGCAAGCAAATATAAGAGCTACTATAAAATTTTATATTCTTCACACTTTTACTATTACTCTACTTATATGTGTACTATAAAATTTAAATAATTTAAAATGATTTCATATGAAATCTATTTAAATTAATTTAAAAATAATGTTGTACTATAAAATGACTTTTGATAGTTTCTTGCAAATGGATTTTATATCATTAAAAAAAATCATTTATTAAAATATTATTTCTTGCTTTTATATCAAACTTAATTGTTATAAAAAAGTTATTCAAAATAATTTTATATTTAATAATTTCTTACAAAAATTTATTTAAAACTCTAAAAAAATTAACAAAAATAACATTCACATTGCCATGTCATTTTATATATATATTTTATTTAAAAATAAATTAATATTTTAAATTAATTTACTTATCATAAATATCTAAAAATTTGCTTTTAACAAACATATATATTTTTTTCTCTTCCATAACCTCGAATTCAGCAACCTCCCAAAGGTCCATTTTATGTCTCTTCCAAAACGATTGATGAGCATACTACAAATTTGGTGGATTCTTCGAGGTTGTTTTTATTTATAGTGTTTTTCCCTTTTAATTTGCTTGTTTATTGGATCATTTGATATGCTTAAGTAAAATGAATTCCCTATATAGAAGTACAAGTTTTGAAGCTCTACTATACTTTTGATCACATGAAAACTTTGGCATTCAATCCTCTTTAGAAAAACTTCAATAATGAGTATAAGTAGGAGTGATATTTGAAACTTCAACACATTGAAGTTCATAAATAGTAGTACTATATATCAGCTCAACTAGACCATTATGTGATTCTGGAGATAGTAGTAGACACATGTGTCTTAAATAGAAGAATGTGTAACATATGTTGTAGAATATGACGTAGCTAGTAATAACACGATGAAGAGTGTATTCTCATAGAAAGTATTATTCGGATAGACATAAATTCTTGGATAATCTGGATTCCTATTACTATTAGACTCATGATATGGATAAGTTAAAAGAATATGCTTTTAAAATATATTTTAACTATCATCAATACTAAAAAGTTTAATGAATTTTTAGAGAGATATCATAAGAGGAAGGTGGTTTAAAAGGATGACGTGTAGCAAATAGGTGGTGGTTTATTGGTGAATATGAAGGTTTAAAAGGATGACGTGTAGTAAATAGGTGGTGGTTTATTGGTGAATATAATGGGTTAGAAATCAAATTATTTTTAATGATGATTTAGGCGATCCGGAGTGGATAGTGGTGAGAGTTTTACATTTTTTTAGTGGTGGTTATTAACACTATTTAAGGATAGAATCTCTTGTACTTTTTATGATTGGTATAAACAACTATTTAATTTCATGTAATTGTAGGTGTCGTCCGATATTCAATAGATATTTGTATTGTGGGTTGGGGTACCCTTAGTACCTGATTTTTATTGAATATATATTTGGCTTATCAAAAAAAATATCTTATCTCATTAAAAAATTATCATGTTTTTCTTCTATTTTTCTAGAGTTTCCTCTAGATTTCCTCAGGTTCTTGAACTCCATCAATTATGAATAATATAGGCTAAATTCTATCTGCTACAGACTTAATCCAATGCTGGAGAAATGAAAGAATATTTCACTCCTCAAAGGAGGAGGAAGATGACTTGACGGTGGGCAAGGAACTGGAAATAGAAGACAAAATCTTCAATAACAAAATTTTTTTTTGGAAAGCTATGAGATTTTAACTCCTTCAACATTAGGGCTTTTAAAAGCACAATGATCCAAGCGTGGAGGCTTAAGAATCCAATCGAAATACAAGATCTAGATAAAAACATGTTCATGGTTCGCTTCACTTTAAAAAAGGAATGTGGATACGATGCTACAAGGGGAACCTAGAGCTTTGACATGAACATGCTTGTACTTGAAAAAGTATTTAGAGATGAACAACCATCCAAAATAAAGATACATTTTAACATTTTATGGGTTCGTGTGTATGATCTATCTCTGAAACTTAGGTCGAAATCAATGGCAAAGAAACTAGATGACATCATCAGAGCTTTTGACGTGGTCGATCCTAAAGAGAAAAAAAGGATATAAAGATTTATACAACGCATGATCAAAGTAGATATGAGGAAAGCATTAATGTGAGGTACAATGGTTAGATACCAGCAAAAGAGTGTGAAAGTCTTTTTCAAGTATGAATGTATACCTATGTTCAGCTTCGTCTATGGAAAAATAGAACACCAACTGAAAGCTTGTCATGATTTGAGCGAGGTGGGAGTAGAAGGCTTTAAGGATATATATATATATATATATATATATATATATATATATATATATATATATATATATATATATATATATATATATATATATATATATATATATATATATATATATATATATATATATATATATATATATATATATATATATATATATATATATATATATATATATATATATATATATATATAGAGAGAGAGAGAGAGAGAGAGAGAGAGAGAGAGAGAGAGAGAGAGAGAGAGAGAGAGAGAGAGAGAGAGAGAGAGAGAGAGAGAGAGAGAGAGAGAGAGAGAGAGAGAGAGAGAGAGAGAGAGAGAGAGAGAGATGTCCTTTGAACCTTGGCTAAAGGAATCTCATCTTCCAAAAGTTCAATAAAAAATAAAAAATAAAGCAACCTCAAGCAAATGTAGCACAAACATTTTTTACTCCCTTAGCCATAGCAAGGAATGAGAGCAATCAAAAGGAACAAAGTCGAGTATGAGACATGTCAATCAGTATTAAAAGGAAGACAAAGTGGGAAAGAGAATAAAAACTAGAGACCAACAAAGGATTTAGATGTAAAGAAAAGCACAAAATAAATAGAAAGTGTAGCAAACTATTTTGGGGCATTGGCCATATCAAAGACAGAAGGTATAGACAAGGAAACTAAGCATGAAATAAGTCAAATTTCCAAATGAATAAACATAAATACCCAAGGAATAAGATGGGAAGAAAACCTAAAGAAAAATAAAGGGACAAAGTTAAAATACAACTAGTTAAGGTGATCATCTCGGAACTGACTTCATGAATGGTGACAACAAGAGAAAACTAGTAGTAGTTATGGATGAAGTAGTTAAGATCAAGAAACCATATGTAGTGTTGAATGTATTGTTACAAGTGATTAGGACATTTTATAGATAGCATGTTATGCAAGATGTCATGACATTCTATTGAGACATATGGTTTTTATGCACTCAAAATAGGTTGCAAAGATGTGGTGTCAAATGTCCCATATATGATGGAACATTTTGCACTAGAAGCTGCTACCCCTCACCGTGATCATGCGCCAGATTTGTTTCCTTATTTGTATGCATGTTTATGCGTTTTTTTGGAATTAGAAAAGAATTCCTAAAAACGATAGCAGATCAAGGCCAAATCAATGATTGAGATTTAATTTATGGAAGATTGCAAATCAAATTAAATCACTATTTGAATATGCACTTTTTGAACTTTACTTCAGCCTAAAGCTCTTCAAACCCTAATGAAGTTGCATCTGTTTTGTTTTTCTATTTAAGGAATTCAAGCCCTTGGCAGAAGACTCAGACCTTTAGATATTAATAAGGCATCTTTTGTTCATTGACTCTGTGTGTATTTCACGTGGTTTACTTTGTAACACTTTATTCATTAATCATTCATATACTAAGGAATAAAGTTTGAATTATTGAGTTGTAATAAGTTCATTATTCAAACTATTTTGTAATGCTTATTGAATATATCATTGTAAGTTTAAATTAAAGTGTTGAAGTAACATTTAAAAAATCATGTTTATTTTTTCTCTTATAGGTATATGCAACAAAATTATTGATTACTCTAATTGGAGAAAGTATGTTTTTGTACGTTTAACATTTAAAATATTCCTTTGCAAGTTTTTTTATTAAGCTTTTTTGAATAGTAGCTACAGGGGGATGAGGGAAGATGTGTTGGTATCTGGATGGAAATTGTTATTTGTACTTTCAGATTGATATTGATTAGCATAATATTGGACCTTCTCGATGAACTTTTTACAATAATTTTTTGTCATTAATTTGTAACTGACGTGTTTTCACTCCACAGTCTGTTTATGCATGAAACATCCGGAAGATATTGGCCTCCTTGTTATTAAAATAAAATTGATGCTTGCTTAATGGTGAAGAAGATAGACACTAGATGCACTTTCACTTTATTCATTAATCATTCATATACTAAGGAATAAAGTTTGAATTATTGAGTTGTAATAAGTTCATTATTCAAACTATTTTGTAATGCTTATTGAATATATCATTGTGAGTTTAAATTGAAGTGTTGAAGTAACATTTAAAATATCATGTTTAGTTTTTCTCTTATAGGTATATGCAACAAAATTATTGATTACTCTGACTAATGCAATATGTGTTGTTGTGTTCTCTGATTATGTTTGGGAATCTTCAATTTTCAGCAAAACTGTTGAATGAGGAAATACTTTCCTTGGTTGTTGCAATTTTTGGAAGTGGTTGTTATGAAACCCCCAATTAGTTGTGAGTTCAACGATT